TGCGGTGGCGTCAGCCTCGCTCACAGCAACCTCAAACTCCTGGGCTCAAGCGATCCTTCTGCCTCAGCCTCCCGAGTAGCTGGGACTACGGGCATACGCCACCATGCCTGGCTAATTTCTTCTATATATATTTTTAGTTGTCCAGCTAATTTCTTTCTATTTTTAGTAGAGATGAGGATCTCGCTCTTGCTCAGGCTGGTCTCGAACTCCTGAGCTAAAATGATCCACCTGCCTCAGTCTCCCAGAGTGCTAGGATTACAGGCGTGAGCCACCACGTCTGGCCCCATTTTTTTTTTAAGTAGATGTATATACTTGCATGAGAAAAATTATGGTTGTAAATATGCCAAAATGTTCATAATGGTTATATTGGAAGGGGATGGGGGAGTGTGGAGGTTTAAAAAGATGCCCACAAATTCTTCGAAAAGTGGAGCCTCATTTTACTCCCAAATGTAGGACTAACTAGGTCATGAAAGGAATTGTGGCTTCCTCTTTCTTCCCTTTCTTGGACCACTTGCTCTGAAGAAAGTCAGCTGCGGTGTCCTAAGAACACTCCAACAGCCCTGTGAAGGGGTCCAAGCGGTGAGCCACAAGTCCTCCTAGCAACGATTCGCAATATCTTGCCAGGTGTAAGAATCAGCCACCTTGGCAGTGGACTCCCAACCCCAGTCAAGCCTTCAGATGACTGCATCCCCGGCTGACATCTGGATTGCAATCTCACGAGAAACCCTGAGCCAGAACCATGCGGTCAAGCCACTCTTACATTCCTGAATCTGAGAAACTGTAAGATAATAAATGTTTCTTGTTTGAAGCTGCTAAGTTTGGGGGTAATTTGTTACATAGCAATAAATAAAATAGCACAAAGTAATTTTAGATTTTCATTTTGCTTATCGTATTTTAAATTTTTTATTAAAATGAACACGTATTGTCTGTGTAATCAAAATTGAGAAAAAAGGAAATGAGAAAGAGAAAGATGGAAATGAAGCTAGTCTGAGGTTTATAAACCCAGCCATGTGATCCCCAGGTGGGGGTGCTTTGGCCTCTTAGCAGCGCAATTGAAGAATCCTTGAGGGCTTTGAAGGGCCACAAGTGCACTGCGGATCATCACGAAAAGGCTGATGTCTTCCCGGGCCGCGTTAGTGGAATGTAGTGTCTGCATCGAGAGAGGTGATCCATCAGGCCAGATCTGGGCCTTGACTCTGGTGTCCAGAAGGCACTGAGGGGCCCAAAGATGCTTCTTCCTTCATTGTGGGCCTGTTGCCTCACAGCTCCTTCCTCAGTCGTGCACTCTGGCAGGACTTGCAGCACCTTGCCAGCCCCCCTGACACTCCATGCTCTCTCTCACTGCTTCGGTGGCTTTTCCGGCCCCTCCTCTGTCCCCCAGACACCCCATCCCTCCCCATGATGCTGCATTTCCCGGTGAGCAGACTAAGCTCAGGGCACCAGCAAAACCCTCCTGGGTTTTCTTTAAAACCGGGATATTTAAAACTGCATTGAATTTGCTCTGCTCTTATTTGACTGCAGGGAGATCTCCCCTGGAGGTCTTCCCCCGTCAGGGCCTGGCCTCCTGCTTCAGGTCGGCCCACATGGCTCCTATTTGGCCTTGTGCAAGTTTTATTGTTATTGCTAGTTTGGTGTTGGCTTCCTCGACCGACTATCAACCATGGGAGGAAAGATCTGTCTTATTTGCTCTCCACTGTGGCCCCAAGGCCTGACACGGTGAATGCTCTGTA